ATACACTGACACTGCGGTGGAGGACTTTGTGCAACATTATGGAAGCAATTCCTGATCGAGGGATTGCTCTTGTTATGTGTGGGTTGTGGAAAGAAGGGGAAGGATGAGGGGGGTTGGTTAGTTGGTTTAGTTAGTGCTGTAGGTGTGATTGTTTCGAAGTGGGATTGTCGCTATCATGGTTCGGGGTATATTGCCTGCCTTTCTCTTTAGGTGGTCAAGCGACTATGGATCTGAGGGGGAGTTATGGTTGTGCGTATGAGCGGAGATGCATTAGCAAGAGGCGTGAATATCAATCCACCATGTACATACAGCTCTAACTATCCTCATCATGGCTTGCTGCGGAGGCAATCGACATCAAAAATGCCAGACGACGGACGCTATGGCTTGGTATGTAGGCTTGAGGCGCAGTTCCCGTGTTACCTATAGCCAAAGAAAGAGAAATCCAGGTCGCGTTGACGTCTGGGCCTAGAATCCGGGCTGTGTCAAATGCTTGCCTTGTTGTTGTGGGGCGTGGATGATGTTATCTGGAATGTTGAATGCGAGTGCCATGTCTTGGTTATAGCTGGGGTTGGGATTGGTATGGAGGGTGTGGTTGTGGAGCTTGGCTGGTTGTCAGTGGGGATCTGTGTGGTATATTGGGCTGCTTGGGTAGCGAAGTCGACTTTTCCTTGGTACTCGGGACTGATGGTATCCATAGGTGTGTTGGTGGTCTGTGGTATAGTTAGGGGAGTAGGTGTGTATGCGCGGTGGAGAATCATGCGGGTTGAAGTATGTAGTTTTGTTTAATATATTTAGCTGAGCATGGCTAGGGGTGTAGAACAAGCGGCATGGGTCATTTTATATGAGTTTTGTGTGGGATTTGGCAGATGCATGTGCTTCGATGGACTTGGTACTTATATATACACGGCCGTGGACGGCAACACGCGCTCTAATTCCAGTGGCTGACCGTACTTGGATTATCATTGAGAAGAACAATATGGGCGAGTCTCTCTGTCTAGCTCATGCCGAACTTTTAGCTCGTCAACGAGAATAGACCAATTTCTATGATTCGTGTTTCGCATCTGCACTGGCTAGATACTGGTACACAGCAGCGCCGGCTTGACCTAGTGAAATGGTATATATTGACAGCTTGACCTGGGTCTGCGTCTTGATGTGGATCCACATATCACAGCTATGGCAACATCCTCAACCTAAGGATAAAAGCACGAACAGGGCATGCATGAGACTGAGGTCTTGTAGGTATATGTCAGAACGAGATTCTCATCCCGACAGAACACGGAACCAGCGTGCCAGGCATATGTCTCTCAATCGCAAATTTGGCCCTCCATCCCGAGCAATGTCCAGGCAGCACAACGGCTGGATCGAGTCTCTTCAGATCCTTGACGGTACTCTCTGTCTGTGTTGCCTCGCTAGTCGCGAGATGGAAACCCCCGATAACCGCATGGAGAGGCACGGAGCCGCCGAGGGTGTCCACCGCATGTCGTGCACAGTTTACGACCCCCGCGTGGCTGCACGCGGTGAACATGACGATTCCTCTCCCTGGTTCAGTGAGCATACGAGTTCCCAAGCATGAGAAAAGGACACTCACCCTTGAGGTTACACATCAAGAACCGTTCGTCAGCGATGACCTCATCGGAGAACCAGTCGTTCTCCTCAGCACTGAACCGCATACCGCCTCTCAAGCCCGTCTCGTAGGAGGTCCGCCGGGGTATCTCCCCTGAGATGAAGAAGTAATCATCGAGGACTGTATGTCCTTCAGCCCGCTTGTCGATGGTCCCGCCCGCTGCTTGCAGTTCCTCAAACGTCGGATCAGCCTGAAGGGAGATGATGTCGTCCCCTATGGCCATGCCTCGGTAATCTGGACGATCTGGATGCAGGTCGACTATCAGTTCGCCTGCAGTACCATGTGCTTGTCGAGCCTCTGTGATCATCTGGATAGCTCGAGTCAGGCCCCCTGATACCGTTAGCAGCTCTGCGCTAGACTATTGGAGAGACTTTAAACACCTGAGTGATCCCGATGCCAGTGCGATAACTGGACCAACTCCACGGAAGACAAGTCTTGTCGTAGTCTCTTGACGTTGCGCTCCCATACACTACCTTCGGGTCCCGCGTCAAACAGCAGGGTATGGCTTTTGCCGTCCTTAGTAGCTGTCTGTTGTGCGGTCAGTCATTATCTCTTCTCTGTGGATCTAGGTTAATATTAAAGAGACGTCAGGCATACCACAAGAATGGACAGACCATGCGCAGCACAGCAAATGTCTTCCATCTGGAGCTCCTTGTGTGCATCCCCGCGATCCGAGATCTCGTGCGGGGATTGCGTGGCTAGCGTACGCATAAGGCCTGAGACCTGGACTGTATCGGGTGCAATGGTCGACATCGGGTCGAGGTCATTGTCGACCAGGAGGACAGCCTCGAGGGAGTCGACTTCTACGAGGTTTGGATGCACCATCTTGACGTGTTGTTTCAAGATCGTCACTTCGTCCGGGATCGAGCCTGCACTTGTGTTCAAATGAGGGGAATGGTAGAGATCTGAAGTGTCTTGAAACAATGCGATTGCGCTGACGAGAGATTTTGAGGCTTTTGGCTGGCAGTCACATTACCACCACCTGACGTTCTGGGTGCCTTAGGCTGAAATTGATTGTTTTGACTTCATCGAGTCCCCATTGCTTAACTTTACAACACCACACACACTTTCTGCTTCCAGCTTGGATAGGCCTTACCTCCATAGCACGATTCTTCATGAATTTTGACTTGGGTTAGGCTCACAAACCAATGTCAGCAATACACCTACCTGCTCGACATATACGGTATTGGGTGTCCTCCTGTGGTACAACGCCTGTCTTGTGCGCACTCGAAAACCAGTGGCCACTTTCCACTGCCATTGTTGGTCTTATTGAGTGTGACTGCGACTGCATTCGCAGTCTATCATGAGAACCTGGTATAATAGACATTGACTATGGGTTGATGCATTTCTGGTGAGCGTGAGCTGTCGACCGAGAGCTACTCACAAGTGAGGGTCTTCGAGACTCAGAAGCATAGCAATGAGACGACCGCCACAAATCCCCCGATCTTGTCATTGAACTGAAAGGGGCAATTCTCCACGATGTATCAACTTGATTGCGACTGCTCCTGGGCAATTGACCATTGCCAGATGAGGCGATAACCCCGCAATGTATAGGCCGTGTTTCCCCTCACTCTTAAGGATTCTCCCGCAAAGGCCGATGTCCGATATTGACTTGGTGCACGCATGAGCTCATTTTCACTTGACTTAATCTTGTTGTTCTGCACGCTACTCGGCCAACTACCTCATCCACCAACCGCAATGCTCGACTCGCCTGCCGCCATCGCCAGGTCATCCTCACAGGCGGAATCCAATTCTCCGTCCCCAGACTGATTTCTCCGGTTTCCCCAGCCGTGCTCTGGGGTAGAGCCGGCGCCGAAGCTTGACAGCGCCCGTTCTTCTATAACCCCGGATTTGCGCCTCCGCATATAAGACGCGGTGAAGAGGACTGCCGAGGTCAGCGAACCCAGGGATAGCACCCACAGTCACGATGCTTCTCTATCGTGGTCTTCTGCTTCTTTTGCACGTTCTGCTTGTGCACTCGGCTGCTCTCCAGCCGCGTCTCTCGACAGCTACTCGGGAGACATGCCAGACGAGTCTGAAATGCCCTGAGGGCACGATCATCGTGTCCAACTCGTCGCACCCCGCCGCTCAATTCAAGTCTATCCAGGCTGCGTTTGCCTCCCTCCCCAACGACAACTCCTCCCACACAATTCTGGTGCTTGCAGGAACCTACCATGAGCAACTCAACCTGACGCGCCCGGGCCCTGTCACTTTGCTCGGCCAGCAACCCGATCGCAGCGCTCTCACCGATCCCACTCGCAACCGCGTCACCATCACCTGGGCTGCTGCCAACCAGGACAATACCGGCCAGTCGGTGGACAACGTCTACTCCAGCGTGTTGATCGTCTCGCCTACCTTGGACGCCAGTCTGACTGGGTCGGGTACCACGGGGTTTGCTGTTCCCGCGGACACACCGTTTGGCAACACCGACTTCCGAGTGTACAACATCGACTTCCGCAACCTGTGGGCAGAGTACAGCGATGGGCCCGCCCATGCGATCAGTTTCAGCCGTGCCAACGGAGGTTTCTACTACTCTGGATTCTACTCCTACCAGGACACCGTACGTTCATACCCTCATCTTCACATTTAGATCACCCACTAACGATGCCTGTCAGGTCTACATTGGCAAACTCGGCAATGCCTACTTCCACAAATCCATCATTGCCGGCCAAACCGATTTCCTGTATGGCTTTGGGACCGCCTGGATCCAATCATCCTCCATTCTCCTGAGATCGTGCGGCGGCGGCATCACGGCCTGGAAGGGCACCAACACGACGTTCGAGAACAACTACGGCGTGTACATCGTCGACTCGACGGTCAACGCAGCCAACTCGTCCCTGGTGTCGGAGATCAAGGGCAAATGTGCGCTTGGACGGCCCTGGAACTCGCTGCACCGGTCCATCTTCGTGAACAGCTACGAAGACGGCAGCATCGAGCCGTCTGGCTACATCAACTGGGAGGACCGGTGGGCGGCCAACCAGACGCTGATGGCTGAGTACCGCGCCTACGGACCGGGCTTCAATGCCACCGGCCGGAAGGAGGGCGGGGTGGCCGTCCTGTTGAATGCACAGGAGTACAAGCGGTACGATTCGCTGGAGAAGGTGTTCTTGACACCGGAGGGTGAGGCGGGCAACATCGCCTGGATTGATTGGGACATCGCTGGCAAAGACTGATAGGTAGTAGCTGTGTTAGTAGCTGTGCCGCACTCAATCCATAAACTCGCCCTTCGATAATCTGCATCGAACCTCCAGACCCCCAAATCTTCAAATCATACACACACACAACCCCCCCCGGCTCCCTCCACCATAGGAACAATCCCTCCTCCTCCCCAACCCAACCCTAAACCCTTGTAAGAACCCATCAAGAATCAAGCAGTCAACTCCCCCCTCAAAGCCAAATACGCCGCCCCGGTATCCGCCCAGACAAAATACTCCTTCACCTTCACCTCCGCATCCCCATTACCTCCAGAATCCCCAGAATCCAACCGCAACCGATAAACAAACCCCTCCCCCCACGCCTGCCCCGTCCGCTTCGCCACAAACCGCGCCCATCCGCGCACCACCACCACCCCCCGCGCACCATCCACCACCCACTCCGCCTCATCCTCGAACCGCATCCCCTCGTACCGGAGGTGGGCGCCCAGGCACTCGAAGTACTGTCGCGCGGCGTCGAGGCCGACGTAGTCTCTTCCCAGGAAGGGGGCGAGGGAGGGGAGCCCGTGCTCGTGGATCTTGATGTCCTCGGCGAAATTGGAGAGGAGGGTGGGCGTCAGCGGGGCTTGGGTGGTGAGGTGCGTGAGGAAGGTGTGGGTTCTGCGGAGGAGGGCTTCGGTTCTTTTGGGGGAGGGGGAGGGCATTTTGGGGTGGGTTGGGTTGGGTTGATTGGGTATAGAGGGGGGGGGTTATAGGTTTGGATTTTTGGTGTAGGTGTGTTTTTGGAGGTTGCTGTATGGATGGTTGATGATGAGGTGAGGTTGTATAGCGTTCAACTAGGTAGGTAGGTGTGGAATGGAAGGGTCAATTGGATGCTAGGCTGGCTGGGTAGCTTGTTCAAGTTGTGGAAGATGATGAGAAGGATGTTTGATTTGATTTTCGGGCTAACGCGCAGAAGGAATTCAACTCACTACTTGTTCCAGCTCAATGATGAAAGGTGAATGACGTTGATTGCGATTGCCAGTGCAGTCTATGCAGTCAAGTTATGAACGATGACATAAGCAGTCGCCGAATGTCAATAACGACAGGAAAAACATCCGTGTTTTTGATCAGCCCAAGGTAAAATAACTCCACGCCGCCGCCCCCCTGTCGCAGATAAGATATAGAACAAAATGTAATATCAGAATGAAAAAAAATACAGAAAGGAGTCACTGCCGCCATGATTTTCCACAATTCATACAAGTACAGAACAGCGTCATCGGTTCATCGGCACTGCGCGTCTGCGCCTCGGTATAGGTCACCTTGCGCTGCCCACACTTTCCACACTGCAGACTGGTACTGATGCTGCGCTCCGCCTGCGCCACCATCGCCTTGTCCATGTTCTCCTTCTGGATCTTGCGGTCGCGCTCCTGCTGCTCCGCCGACCGCAGCTCGTCGTGCGTCATCTTGACAAAGTGCTCCGCCGTGACCTCCCCGCTCAGGACCCGCACGCGCAGCATCGGGTTCGACTTGTTCTTCAGGTTCTGGTACAGACTGCGGATCTTGGTGCGGTACTGCTCCTTGGTCTCCGGCCCGAAGGCGCTGAACGCCGCCGCCTCCACGTTCGAGGCCTTGGCCAGCACCGTCCGCGGCGCCTCCGTCGCGTTGAAGCACAGCCCGTCGTACATCAGGCCGATGCAGCTGTCGCGGATCCGGTTGGAGGTCTGGTTCACGTCCACCCCGTCGGCCTTCCACGTGCGCTTGTCCGGCGGCACGGACAGCTTCGAGGCCTTATCCGAGGGCGTCGAGGCCGCGGTGCCGTTCGGGGTCGGCCGCGGCGAGCTGCTCGAGCGCTGGCTGGGACCCGGCGATGCGCCCGCCTTCTGCTTGTTGACCTCGTTGCGCCACTTCGATACGATCTCGCTCGACAGGCGCGCCACCTCGGGCGCCTTGTGCTGCTTGAACTTGTTGACGATGATCCCCACGCGCGTCGAGCGCAGCAGATCCTCCGTAGCTCGGACGCCTTGTTGTAGTTCCTTGAGCAGGGCGACGATGTTGGCGGGCGGCTCGTTCTGGGTGGCCGCCTTGGTCAGAGCCTTGGCCTTGAGTTCGATCTCCTTCGCGTCCATCGGCATGGTGGGCGGTAGGTATAACGGAGGGTAGTAGTTATGGGAAGGTGCCTTTAGACTTCTGTTCCTGGTCAGTGACACGTCTTCATAGCTCTGTGAAAGGCGACCCGAGCTCGCTGCTCCTCGATGCAGCATCCAGTTCACATCGTACAGACGACATTATGACATGGCAACCTCGGTCTCCAGACACCGTCCACTTCGACAAATAGAGCACGTGCAGGGGAAGCGGGGGCACCGGTTGTGACCACCGTACAGTCTTGACGCCAGCTGTCGACCGAAAGCAAAGATTGAAGCCGCCCAGGTTCATACACGTAGGAGGAATCGAGGTGTAGAAACAGGGGACGAACTCACTCAGGCGGTCGCACGAAGCGGGACTCGTCTAGCTGCAAGGAAGCGACAAGCGACTTGAGCGATGCGGGCAGGCGAGTTCTTAGAAGAAAAGCGCAAAATTATAGCAGCCCGACGAAGAGCGGAGGGGTTTTGGAGATGCTAAGTCTCAAGGCTCAGCCAGGATAGTAATGTCGGATGGAGAGAGGGAGAAAAGGACGAGTATTGAAGAAGATAAGTGAAGAAGAGAGAAGATGAGAAGATGAAATGCGACAAGCAATGCCAAGCCTGGGGATGCCAGATCAGGAATAGTGTATTTTGACTATTCCACGCGGCAAGCACCGGACGAAGTATGAAGCATCTGATAATGATCCTGCTCAAGTTGCAGCTGGATCTGAGTGGCAAGAAGTTGATGTATGAAGGGAACTATTTTCAAGCGAAGGCGAGACAGCTGGCTGACTGTCAAACCTCTGTCAGATCCGATTGTCTTGATCAACATGACATACTTTCACCATCACCACCACCATCACCACCACCACCATCACCATCACCTCATCAGTCACTCACCACCAGCATTACGCGCAATATTACCAGATGAAACTTAAAGTCGCCAATTCTGCTCTCCTATGATCATACCTAGCACCCATCCTACTTCGTCAGCGACCACTTCCGGTCGCAACAAATGGACATGATGCCCACAGTCTTCCAAATACACCAGGCGGCTTCGACTCGACAAGTGCAGCTGGTCCTCTTGCATCGCTTGATCCAATCCATCCCAGCGCTCCAGCAGGCGCTCAAATGCTTTCTGCTGTGCTTCACTACCATTGCCCGCAGCCACACCCGCTTCGTAGACCTTTCGGTAGTCCAGCGACCCACGACACCGAATCACCGACAGCGGCTTCTCCCCTAATGCTTGGTGTCGATACTGCTCTTTCGCCCCCAGAGTCTGACAGAGCTCTACTAAAGCATTGGCCTCGGCTGCCCAGGTGTGCTGCCCGCGAGCAATATCCTTTGCCCGCGTCCGCCACTCCTCCCGCGACAACTGCGCGTTGACCCGCAGACCAGTTACCTGTGCGAAATTCAATCCGCCCTGCACCGCAGAAATATCAAGGTCGGGATCTTGCAAGAGCTCAGGCTGCCGTTCTGTCGAGCCATCCGCAAGGACCATACCAGCCACTGCTCGAGGATTGAGATGAAGGAATTCGCGTGCGATGATCGCGCCATAGGAATGTCCGACAACAAGATAGGGAGGTGACAGCTGCGCCTGATCAAGTAGTGTGTGCAGTTCTTGGGCGGCCGTAGTGGCGCGATGAAGCACTGAATCTGGACCATTTTCGCTGCGGCCTAATCCACCCCGGTCGTATAACAGGAGCGTCGCAAAGGTGCCGACTCGGCGTGCGACGGCGCAGTAGGACGAAGCCACATCCCCCGCGCCAGGGATAAAAATCACGAGCGGGTGCCCAGCAATCCGAGAAATGCCGCTCAGCGTGGCGAAAAGGTGGTGAGTCCCGACCGAGACAAAACCGCCGTTGCGTAAATCCGACGCTGGCATCGTGGACACACGTGCTCTTGTGTAAGAGCCCATGGAGGATGAGTTCGATGACAACAAGTCGGCTGGGCCCGGGCTACCACTGCCACTGCAAGACACTAAACTGGCCAATCTGGGTTGGGTCTCAATCTTACAGGCCGACGATCGGCACCCAACCACAACACTCCTAAACAATGTATCTTTGAAAGCTCAAACTTCTTCAATATAGGCTTATTCGCTAGATGATGCATCTTAAAAGTTCGACCCATTGGGACGCAGATCGACGGTCTCGAACTCCAAGCCCTTGGCTTCAAACACGTGCCCGGGGCGAAGAGCGTCAGTATAGATATTGGCCTCCCCATGAGGATGGAACAAGCCCGGCTGCGTGCAATTGAGCACTGTCTTCAATCCCGGGGGGTCGGTCAATCGGAAAACACCCCAGTCTGGCATCTTACTCGGCGCGCATACGATCGCTATGCTCTCCGGAAGCATTACCTGGTATCCACAATGGGTGTGTAGATCGCGTGAGCTCATGAAACATGTCTGGGTTGGGTGTGTGTGAATCCAGCCCAGCACCATTAGATCCTCCGAGTCACAATAGTCGAAGATGGCTGTCTCGTTCACTGTCTCACACGTATCTGACGTGGCGGTCTGCTCTGGGATCAAAAGCCGCGACACGAATAAGGCATTCGAGATCAATGTACCGCACAATATCCCACATGTCTCCAGGTTGCGTTGTGTATTCGGTGCGGCCAGGGACAGGAAGTGTGTCCGTAGCTCGGGCGGGAGGAACAAAGTCCGCAATGGCGTGCCATTTTCCAGGTAGGCAGACGGCTTGAAAGTGAAGCTGGACGGATCTAGGTCGGTGCGCGTCTCACTATCCGACTTTGGCCGTACCTTGGCAGGAACTGCCGGTGCCAATGCCGGTGTGGAAATTGGAGAGCGCTTATCCGGACGAGGCGGAGGCGCTGACCTTTCGTCCAGTCCATGGTCCTGGGGCAGTTCTTTAGGTGGCAGTGCGGGGACCCCTGGAGCAGGCGGAAAGAGACCATGCAGCTCTTTTTGAACGGAGGTGGAGGCAATATCAGCAGGCCGTTGACGGGGAACACTCGGATATTTGTAGGTCGCGCTGCTGCCTGGTGCAGCTGGACGGGACGACGTTGTATGTTTATTATTACCCGGCGCAGAAAGCTCCGCCTGCGGACCACCCTCCATCCTCAGTCGCACATTGTGAATGCGTTGGCTCAAGTCATCGTCAGCATCCTTGCGTAAAGCATGTTCCCAATCACCCCAGACCCCGGCTGCACGACGAGTCTGCTCCTCCTCCGGAGAGATACCAGCCTGGCGTATGGCCTTGCGAACCGTGGCTCTGCGACTGATCTCCGTGCGGGCCAGCTTCACGGCCAGGTCACGATTCTCTCCAGCCTCCAAGGGTTTTGCAACACCGGCTAGCGCAGGATCTTGGGGCAGTTGTCGCCGAATGTCTGGAGATGCAGGGACGGCTGTGACCGAGGCGCGGTGTTGCCGTTCGCGCATCAACTGGAGGTAACGTTCGTAGCGTTTGGTTATGCGAGGCTTCAGGGTCTCGAGAACCTTCAGGTTTCGTTTGACCTGTTTCTCCGCCTCCACCAAGGCTTTGCGATTACTCTCATCCTTGGCCTCCGGATGCTCAGCTAGATGAACCAGCACGAGCTGAGCATGTCTAAACAGTAGAAGGTACGCTTGTTCCTCATGTTGTTCTCGTTCGTAGATGCGAGCCTGCCAACAACGGGGGGAGGTTGTGTTAGTATTAGTTCGGCGCTAGCATAGTCAAAAGAATACCGTACCTCTCTAATGAGTGTCGAGGCTGTCCGTAGCCAGTACCGTAAGGGAATGGAAGGGTTGTATTCGTAATCCTGAGCCAAGCGAGTGATCGACTCGACGCTCTGTGGAGGTGAAACCCCCGCACCGGCTGTTGGGGGCAGATGGGCGGTCATCTTGACCGAGCGTCTGTCCTTGGTAGTACAATAAACGAGGGTCAACGAGTGGCTGAGCTTTTATGAAATGATCTGGATTGTGGTTCATACTCCTTCCGGCTCGGTTGCCACAGGAGGATGTTTGGAGGGATGGATAGAGGAGGAGGAGAGGCGGAAGAGGCAGCGGCGTGAACGCCGGAGGAGATTAAGTTAGTGGGTGAGGAGCTTAAAGCTGCGGCGAGCGGAACCTCCGCCGCACTTCTACAAATCACGCCCGCGCTCTTCACTCTTCACTCTTCACTCTTCACTCTTTTTGTCCCTGCTCTGCATAACCTCCCTCCACTTTCACAACCAGCATCAATACGCCCATTCTGGCGATGAGCACTCGGCTTAGGCAGTTGTGCTACTATCGCCTTAACACCTTCGAAAATGGCGACAAAATTCCCGGTCGAGTCGGTGGCAATGCGTGCAAGACGAACTGCGAAAATTTCGTCGGTGAGAGGAGAGCGATGGATTCCTGACTCTAACTTTCCCATGGCTACTGCTATTTCCGATCATCTCCATAAGAATCGATTGAAACGCCAAGTGATGAGGCCGGAGATAGTCAGTGAAGAGCTTGGTGGTTAGTTGCGCCTTCACTCGACTCGTAAGGTACCAGTCGACGCTAATCATGGAGTGTTTCTAGTCCACGTTATGCAGCGCCTCGCACCTTTCCTTCGCCGCAATGCACCCACGGATATTCTCGACTTATGGCCAGGTTGCGGACTCTTCTCATCGAAAGTCAACGAGTTCCTTCGTCCGCGTCGACATGTTATGTTGGAGCCGGACTTAAAACTCTGGCAAAAGTTCCTGGAGCCTCTAACCGAGGCGGGAGAGGGCTACAAATTGCTTGACACAAACCCTCGTTCCTTCTCCGCCTGGGATGAGCTTTTGAAAGAACATTTCCCTGAGCAGGGTCCTGAGAATGCCGATACCAGCGGGGCACTACCTTGCAATTCCAACTTGCTGGTGGTCGCCAACTTGACGCGCCCGCCCTCGCCGAAAGACCACATGACTACAACCCGATGGATTTCTTCCTTCATGGAAGCCTGTCTATGGCAACAAGGCTTGCACTCATACGGTGCCGTCCGCCTGTTGGCTGTACTGCCTCAGGATGATTCTAGCGGCGTAATCCCCCACGAGCCCGGCGACCGCAAACGCGCCGCGATTTTGACTGAGAACGTCGCTTTGCACAACATCACGGTTGCCACACACGACGAGCTTTGCTTCTGGGCCAACGTAAAGGGTGTCAAGTACGCTGAAGAGGAACGCATCCGTGTCACAGAACAGGCATCGGCCAACGGTTTCCTACCTATTCCGGGCCGTGAGCCATCCCCTATAACCCCCACGCCAGACCTCTCCCATCTTGCTCGTGACCCCGAAAAGCATCGCTACGAGCCCCGCATTCGGAGCGAGCTCCATTCGCAGCTGCTGGAGGATATGGAAAGGTTTGACAAGATGTCGCCGAGTTCGCCGGATTACAAAGCAGCCAGAAAGGTCCGCGGTCGCGCAATCACTCGGATCAATTCAGAACACCGAGCGAACGGCCTCAACAGACTCATTGCCGAGAAAGTGATGCAGCTGGATGAGCTGTACAAGAGCGTGGCCCGCTTGGCCGCGCGTCCGACAACCACGCGCGCCGACTTCGAGCCGCTCCTTTCTGAAATCGCCTCCTTGAAGCAAGTCATCGACGCCGATTACAAAAAAGTCCAGACCAAATGGCGGCCCTCGCTACGATATACGCTAGACGACATGCGCTCCCGGGCTTCCGACGACAGGGCGGCCCTACTGCACTGGGACCGCCGGCCCTTTGAGCCGCTACGCATGCAGGACAACGAGACGTACCCGCGGGACGAAAAGCGCAGCATCCTCTACTTCGAACCGGACCCCAACTCGCCCGTGGCGCGCAAACTCTTCTCCCTCGACCCCGCGACGCGCGCCGCCGCCGCAGACCTCTTCGAAATCCTCACCCTCTCCCTGTATCGCGGCCGCACCGATCTCACCCTCGGCGAGATGCTACCATTGGTGTTTCCCGGCCGATCGATCAACGACTGCGTGCGCGCGATCCCCGGCCTGGTGCAGCACACCGTCCGCACCCCGAAGCCGGATTTCGACGCCCTGCCCAAGACCCTCATTGCCGAACCCAGTGCCGGCGGCGCCGCCGCCGCCGACAACAACGGCGCCGCGGCGCAGCAGCAGCTGGACCCCGCCATGTGCTTCCAGGAGAACCTTGACTACGACGTCAGCGACGTGCGCGTGCACATCATCCCTTGCCCGGTGCTGTGGGACATCTGCATCGAGTACTCGCACTACGAACACCGTCAGTCGGTCCGGTCGCTCGCTCGCGCCCTCGGCGCCACATTGACGGGTTCCCGACTGGGGGCTCATCTTACCAAGGGCAAGAGGCTCAACTGAGTTCGCTCTTGCAGCGTCTGGGAACTAGAAAAGCACCAACGAAGATCAACCAACAAAAATAAAGAAAAAGAGAGTGCGCGAGCAAGAGGTATTGCGACTATTGCGGACCCTCACACATCGATCCCGTGTATACTATACTGTACAAATATCTTCTCGACCCGTCACCACACCATCCCCGAACCTGGTCGACCGATTGGCCCGCGGCATACCTTTTGTGGATATACTTGACATGGGATCTCTTCATTCTTACGAGAAAAGATCATTCTCCCCTCATCGACACTCTCTCGCCTTTCTCGAAACATATTCCAACCCACAATCGACTCGAGAGCAAAACCTGAATGCTCTCGGAACTCTGCGGGCTTTCGCTCCGCACGCACAAACCAAGAACTTGCCGTAGAACTCGAAATTTCAAGATTAGGGATAACGGCCGAAAAGCCTTCTCCGGCTTGTGTCCGGAGGACGCAGGCAGACTCGAGTTGCCCCTCACCCGGCCTCAGGCGGGCTGGCTGGGGAGCAGCACCTTGCAGAGACTAGGCGGCTCACCACACCCGCTAGGTTTCTCTATACATGGTTTCCTATTTACCGGTGATATATCGGCCCAGTGGATCTACGCATCTATATACTGTTGTGGCTACGGTCTAGAAATGCTGTCGCGGTCCGCACTGCACAGCAGCCTCCAACGGGAGCGATTGGCATGGAAGAACGGGCTTTTGTACAAAATGACTTGGCATCGCCACCTCATAGAATTAGACTACAATATTAATAGAGAAAAGGAATCAAAAAAGCGACCCCTCGGCGAGGGAAAGTATATTCTAATAGACATGATGGAATCATGAATAGTACATATTAGCGAATGATGGGAACAGGGTACCCGAAGAACCAAGAGCTGCCAAAAAATATGTGAAGGTAATATGAAAAAAGAGAACCAAAAGAAGTTGGCGCGAAGATCGGAATGTATCGTCGACCTTGCAAATCTAGAATCTAAAACAGGGTATCTTTTATAGTTTGTATGGTCGAATAGAAAGTGGAAAGAGATTAGAACGATCGTAGGCGCTGGTGAAAATGCCGCGAAGGGAAGAAGTGGGGGAAAGTGTTGAGGAAGGAAGTATGGCAGAAGAAGAGAAGTGAAGAAGGTTATCTGGCCAAGTCAACAAGTCAAAGGAAGAAGAAAGAGAAGAGTGAAAATGAAAGGGAAAAAGTAAGAATGGCCGAAGAGAATCAAGAAATGACCGGCGGTCCATTGAAAAAGACCGATGAGAATGACGGTTGTCCGATGGAGGATGTGACCGAGGCATCATCAGTGAGCGGATTCAGCGAGGTGCAGCCAGTCATCCGGGTGGATGCGCTGACTCGGATCCTTGGCGATGGCAGGCTTAATAATCTGCTCGACAACTCCCGCGCGAGGAACGCGCGAACCATTAGGGCCCGAGCGGGCGAAGTCGATCACCCGATGGCCCTCGCGGGCCATGGCCAGGCGCTGTAAATTGCTGGCACCTGGGTAGAGAAGAAGATCGCCAGTGGCTGCGGCGAGAAGACTGACGGCAAGGGAAAAGACATCAGATTCGGGAGTGGGCGCGACGTCCGGTGACGTCAAGGAGGAGACACAGAGTAATTCCGGGGCCGCGAATGGCGGCGTGAGCGCGGTTAGGGCTGTGCCCATGCTGCACTGTTCGGGTGAGGAGGGGCTGGCAATCGGGTGCGCAGACGAAAAATCGGCAAAGAGCGGCTCGTATGGGAATGAGTCCGACTCCAAGTCGAGATCCTGGCCACTGGGTGAATGTGATCGCAGCAGGATATTGTGGGGTTTGATATCACCATGCACCATCTGCGGACCACTGTGCAGCCAGGCCAAGCCAGCAATGAGCTTTTCGGCCAAGACGTGCCAATGGGCCATGCCTTGAACCGGGTCGAACATGGTCTGCGTGGATCGGGTCTTCTGTGCGATGGCGGCCTTGTCCTGAATGTAGGTCGATAGCGCCAGCGGCACGGCGGACATGACAATGGAATGCGACTCGGAGATGTACCCACGGAAGGGCACGACATGGTTCTCCGCGCCTGCTACGCGGCTGATCCGGGTCAGTGCGCGGGCTTCAGCATCAAGGACAGAATGCGCATCCCGCCTCACAGGCGACTTGACAGCCACCACCCGGCCTTTGACGGCTGGGGAACTCGGAGGGGTCAAAAGACCCGATTTGACGGCGGGAGAAGAGGACGCTTTGTACACAACGCTCCAGACGCCACGGCCAAATTCGACCGCGCGTCCCTTCGGGTCGTAGTGGTACTCGAGATCGTCGGTAAAGTGCTTGGTATCGGAAATTTCCTCGTCAAGTTTCTCCGGTTTGGCATCCACCGGGGAGAGAAAGGGGCTGGAGGTATTGGAATGCACGGTAACCTCGCTGCCGGAGAGACTGTCATCGTCGATGGTGGGCGTTACCGGGGGAGTAAGTCCACGCAGCACGGTCGAGTGTGGAGTATGTTCACACTCATGTTGAGTAGTACGCACGGAAAGCCGAACAGGCATGTGCGTGATCGCCATGACGAAATAATCTTTAGTGAGCCTTTCTTCTGTGGTCGCAGTTGAAGAGGCAGAGATCCGAATGCGACGGATCCGGCAAAAGCGGCGGCTCGGATGGATCACTATCTGAACCCGCCAGATGGGGGAAACTTGAGGAAATGTTAAGTGTATATATAGCTTCGGTGTAGAATCAGAAGAGAGTCGGTGGTAGATAGATAAGAGGAAGACCCTCTTCTTGTATAGTTCTGCAGATACTGCAGAGATGGGACTGATGGAGCAGTTATAGGCTGCAGTGCTATAGATTTGGCGAAAGATGACTGGTGGCGATCTCGTCGAGATGACGTCGGGGGTCCAAGGAAAGTCAAATGAAGAACGGTTGGAATAATTCCAAGGAGAATTTTACGGAATGAGTCACTTTAGCATCAAGTGTTGGCGATCAGAGGAAGTCAAGTAATTGCAAGGATTGATTCGAAGGAGGTTGGAGAGGCATCATCGGAGGAATGAAGGACGGAGGGAAAATGGGAAATGGATAGAGAGAAGAGAGAAGGGAAAAATAAGTTCAAGGGAGAAAAGAGGCAAAAGAAAAGAAAAAGAAGAGAAGCAAATTAATATTATTATTATTCGTAGGAAGTCAAGGGAAAGGAAAAAAAAAAGAGAGAGAGAGGATCGACCGGGGAAAGAAGGAGCTTAATTGTGATGGCAGAACCATGGCCACAACAGACGAGGCAGAGTCAATCGATTCCACCGTCACCGCGCGTCCCTCGACAATAGACTGATTGATTGATTGATTGATTGATTGATTGGATTGCAACTGCTACCGTTACCGTCACATAGAGATAAAGTAGACTAAGAGAAAAAGACGAAAAGGCGTGAAGAGGTCCGTCGAGAGGGTCCGGCTCCCCACATGGTTCTATTGGGTCTATTGGGTCTATTTTTCCCGCAGTTGTTGCAGACTGTGCTGTGTGACTCGGGATAACTATGGAGTATGGAGAAGTTGGGAATTCACTCTCTTCAGTCTTCACTCTTCTAGGTATGAAGATGAGTTTTGAGTTGAACTACTCCGTTCCGAGGATCAACTCAGAATACGAGACTGTACCTCATTTGTACCTGGACTCCTGCTGGAGGCCGCCGGAAGTGGCCGTGAGTATCGAACAATGAACGGAAAAAGACCGAAAATGACCGAAAAAAACGACCAGGAGAAGTACATCCACGGACACTATACCTCATTCGGATTCGACGGCTGGCTGGATTGGGTAAATCCGGTGGAGACGAAGAGGGAGCATTTCGTGCAGTTCGTCCGTCCTCATTATTCCCTCTCCCTCTCCCTCTCCACTCCACCTTGAACCGCTGTCAAATCTCCTCCTTCCTTCCTCAATGCTTCGCTTTTTTATTATTCATCTGCTGCTGATCCCTTTCTTTTTCGGCTTTCCACCGCAGACGCCATGACGAACACCCTTGAACCTGCGACAATTGCACTAGTCTACTCGTCGGGAACGGTGGCATAAAAGCAGACCAAAAGCCCGCATGACAATGACAGGAGGAAGGATCCGAATGGTTGAACGATTGTTCCAATAGTATCGTCACTAGTGTCCGACCAGTATCAGTGCTTGCTTCTTTCCATTCGGCCCAACCCAGGGATCTTATCTCGACGCCCCCCGGCCTGCGCATCGACCTCCGACTGCTCTATCCTCTGCACGCTACCCTCTCAACTGCAGACCATCCAATCTCCGTCCCTACCGCGCATCTGCACAGTCCCTTCCCCGGCAGTCGTGTGCTTACAAGATTTAATATGAGCCTTCGAAGAGAAAGAGGAGACAAATGGCTTCCTTCCCTCCCCATCCAGTATCTCCTTGCGACCACCCGACCCATCCCTCCGTTCGAGGCCTGTCTATTGCCGCCGAATGATCAATGGAAGTGGTCGGCTTCGACAGCCAATCTCCACCCCCACGTGGGTCCTCATCTGCCATGGACTCATGGAAATTGGCCGCCATTAAACGCGCTCCACCCGCCCTTCCCAACACGGTAGGTTGGGCGGACTTGTTTTCTGGGTCACCAAAGACAATGGGGAAGCAGAACGACCTGGCCCGGAGAGATTCATGCCCGCCATCGAACTGTATCCACTGTTCCACTGCCTGTGATCTCGCTCAAATTGCGATACTCAGGGTATTGGTCCAAACCAATCTCGGCCGCAAGACCGACCGATGTGGTGTCAAGGCCACGCACTGATTCCAGCAGACACTTAGAAAAATCAATCCATATCTTTCCTGTCGCCGATGTACAATACGTAAGTTGGACGCTCCCAGATCACCAGACGGTTTCGCCTCAAGGAGTATTCGCGGCCTTTTGCCGCAGCAGGGATGGAGTAACAAGCAACCACGATGCCGCATCGCGCACTCTGGTTCGGTTACAAGTCACTTGTGGCTTTCGGACAGAGAGCACCGCAATCCAGATCTACGGGAACACAGCCCCATGCCAAGGCTAACGGTCGCCAACCCCATGTCTGCGATAGCTACTCGAGCATATCACTCTTTCAACCATCAAATCAGTTGCATTCCTGATCGTCCCGTTGCCTTCTCTAGAGTAAGTCTATGGATGACGGACACTATTTACACCAGATAAGCCCCAATGCCCCGATACCCCGCCTCGACGCACGCCAAAAATAGATCCCTTTCGAGTCATCACAGTTGAGCTACCCCTCAGTTACTGTCATTTCCCACCACGCGAATGAGCTCCTCCAAGGGCTTCTTCTCCTTGGGCGGTGGTGGTCCGCCCTCCGGCACGCCAAACACCAATTGCGCCCGCAGCTTCCACTGCGCAGGCACCTCGAAGGTGCTTGCGACCTTATCGTCGATGATGGGGTTGTAGTGTTGCAAGTTGGCGCCAAACCCTTCCGTCTCGAGCGCCGTCCACGCAATCAACTGATGCATGCCGCTGGTCTGTTCCGACCAGGCCTCAAAGTGTTCCTCATACGATGCGAACTTGGCCTTATGGTCTGCGACCACGGTCTGATCCTCATAGAAGAGCACCGTGCCGTAAGCGGCGCGGAAGCCGTCGATCTTGGGCGCAGTCTTCTGGTACCGCTCAGCCCCGATGCGAGTGAGCAGGGAGTCCTTGACGATGTCCCATAGCTTGTCGTGCTCCTGTTTCAGCAGGACCAGGATGCGTGTGGTCTGAGAGTTGAAGGCCGAGGGGGTCTGCAGCACGATCTGATTGAGGATCGATTGGATCTTGGAGTCAGGGATGGGGGATTCGCGACGTAGGGCGTAGTAGGAGCGTCGGCCAGCAAGGGCCGCTAGGAGGGTGGAGCTGCCGGACATGGTGGTTTTCTTGTTTTGTGGAAGGACAGGGAAGGGAGAGATCAGCGTGAGTACCTTTCCAGATTTCCCTGCCCAGCTGCATTTATAGCGTGGTCAAGTGCAGCGCAGTGAGGGCATGCCAGCAAATGACGCGACATCGGAGATGATAGTAGAAATTATTGGAATAGCAGGGGGGCTGGTCGTAAACAAGCAAATACGAGGTAGGGTTCAACTGATATAATATGATTTAATCAAAGCTTACTTCGTATAGCTTTATTAGACGCCGTGCTATCGTGGTAGTTGAATTAGTATACGAATTGGTCGACCGCTTGGGCCAGCCAGGAAGCTGCATTGGCCAGTTTATCCCCACCTTTACGGATGTCCGGGAGAGATGGAGTTGCAGCCGGAGCAGAAGTTGGAGCCTGGAGCTCAACAACGACACAGCCCGATTTCAAGCATGATGTCACCATAGACAAGCATCCAAGTCAAGTATCCCAGAGCCATTTACAGACCCTGTTCCTGATATACAAAACCTACCACCTACCTACCCACTTGCCCTAAGACGTACTTACCATCTCGCTCCCCGACCACCTTCACCTTCACCTTCACCTCATATCACCCCACACCACCTCAAGCATCCCCATCCCCCCCCAAACCCATCTTTCCCTGTTGCTGCTGCCCCTCCACAAAACCCTTCAAATCCTCCACCCAGCACCGGAAATTCTCCTCCAACCGGCGCCCAAACACCCACTTGACCACATACGCCAGATACCCCTCCTGCACCTCCCAATTCGTCACCTCCGTCACCACCCTCACACTTCCAGAGGAGGCATCCACAACCTCCCGCTCCACCAGCTCATGCACCCTCTCCGCCGACAGAAGCGCGGCCATCACCCGGCCCTGGAAGGCGGTATCGTTCGCCCAGGTGATTCTTGCTCGGCGGGTTGCCGTAGGTGTAGCTGTAGCCGTAGGCCCGGGACTACCATCCCCATTCCCATCCCCATCCCCTTGGCTATCTGGGTGTGAAGCAGGCGAAGGCGGGAGGACCTCCGTCACCACCAGACCGACATGGTTATCCACACTCTGGAAAGACTGCGGCGCCGTGGACGCGGCGGATGGGTGCATGTTCACGTGGAAGGTCATGCGGGTGCCTTTTTGGAGTGTACCACCGCCACCACCACCGCCACTAGCAGTTGGTGGTGTTGGTGTTTGGGAGGGTTGAGCGGTGGTGGGAGGAGTTGTTTCTGTCTCTTGTGCCGGTGTGGTTGTGGTTGTGGGTGTAGGGCGATCATCATCATCATCAAGGGGAGAAGGGGGAGAAGGCTGCTCGCGGATCGTCACGGCGGGCACGAAGCGATTCCACTTGGCCCAGGTGGTGGTGTCTGTGAGGGCGGACCAGACGGCGTCGAGGGGGGCGTGGATCTGGATGGAGCTGGTTAGGTGGAGGATTGGGGAGGAGGAGGATGAGGAGGACATCTTTGGTTTCGCTGGGTTGTGGATATTGAGATTCAGGGTGAGTGGGCTAGCTGATGAGGGGTGTTGTTATTGGGATGGTCAGTAGATGGACATTGATATATGTAAGTCGGTGCAGTTGCAGTTGTATGAAGTGTTGTTGATGACCCCGTACGTAGATGGAGGCAGAATCCAATAACTACCGCCGCAGCCAAGCTAGCTAGGTAGCTAGCTACACACCGCCCGACCCTCAACGGCTCCCGGAGGCCCCCCGGCCGGGTAAATTCAATTCAATTCAATCCAAGCCTTAGGCTAAGGCTATCCGCCAAGCTCTCTTCCCCCTCCGGTCCGAACAAGACCACGGAGTAAAGTTTCCGGGAGCAGAGAGAGTATAAACCCCGTCGATCCTTATAAGCATTCTCAATTGGCCTAGGCCTGGGTCTCACTAGTGAATCAATTTCGTTTCCATCTTCCTTTCTGAAACAGGTCACCTCAAAATCTAGACCCTGCGGATCATAATCAAACGGTGTTGCGGGATGGACTGGACTGGACTGGACTATCGGGTACCTACCTACCTACATGCTGTACTGCGTACTGCACATCAAAATGCAGACAGGGTAGGGGGCTTGTCTGGGTCCTTGCATTAGCGGGAACTCTCTTCTGTAAAGATTGAAGTGAAAGTTTAGGTGGAAGATGAAGCACTGTAGGAAAGGGGGTTGGTTGGCCTTTTGCTGGCATGCTTGCTCTTAAGATATGGGTTGGTTTCTTTTGTCTGTTTGGGGAGGGGGCGGGCGGTGTTCCTTAGATTGGACAGGGTTGGGATATGTTTGCGATGCAGATGGCGGGTATACAGTTTATCTCGGGGTGAAGCCAGATAGAGGTCGTCAACCATCTGCGAGAGATCAGATGTCTTGACAGAACTCAAGCGGTGAACATCCACCAACGCAGACTGGGATCGATTGCATCAGAGTCAGAGAGTGTGTGTGCCTACGCACGAAAGGACAGAGTTACCAGGTCTGAGGCCACCGAGAAATCCTCTGGATTAGTGGACGGTCAACGACGAAGGCCTCTAGCAAATCGATCCAATGCACATCTACCGTAAAGCATCTATGGGCCTTTGTTCCACTTCCACTATCCCACCCTGATTCCCAATATTAGAGACATAAGTCTAGACCTCATCACTCAAGTTCACTTCCTGCGCATTAACCAACCGAACCCCCCCATTCCGTCAGAAGAAAAAGGTATCATCGAACCAACCCATAAACCAACTCCATTCCATGACAACTACTCCAAGCAACCGACGGCATAACATATCATACCCCCGTGACCGGATCAAGCCCATCAAACCGCACGGACTTCCGCCGCTCCTCCGCCGCAAACGAATCCCACCGCAGCTCCTGCACAATCTGAATCCCATGCGCTGCTGCTGGGTCCGCAGGTTGCGGATGCTGCGGATCCCCCAGACTCAGACTCTCCATCGAGAACGTGCCCGCGACACTGGTGACGTAGCTCGTGCTGGACGGCGCGAAGGGGTTGCCGTGCCCGTGGCTGACGATGCTGACGCCGCCGCTGGGGCGGGAGGGTTTCTCGCGCGGGTGGTAGGAGCGCGCGCGGGAGGGCATCAGGCGCGGGAAGAAGCGGATGATGAAGGGGCGGAGCGGCGGCAGGCAGGCGCAGATGACGGCGACGTTGCACTCGATGAAGGACCATGTTGCGGCGAGGCCGTTGCCCTCTGGTCCACAGAAGTTAGTTCCGTTTGGGTCTTCCGTCACGTAGTAGGGAATTCGACTCTTGATGGCCGGGACAGAAAGAAGGCACTACTATACCTGTGAAGTCTGGGGATCGAATGAGTTTGACGATCGTCGTGAGCCGGATTACGCTCATCGCGCATACACTACGAACTCCAAAATTCCAGATTAGTGATTGTTTGTGACAACCAGCAGAAAAGGTAGGTAGACGAACAAAAATCCCAGAGCGAAGATAAGGATTAGTGCGACCTTCTGTCGTTTGGGGATCTGCAGCTTGGCCAGCACGGGCATCGGTAAGATGACCAGCAGCAAGTCGGTCGAGATCTGGAATCCCGCGTTCAGGCACCATACGACGCCCTCCGGGAGACAGGTCCGAGGCAGCGACGTGTCCCAGAAGGACCGAACGGGAATGCAGAAGAGAATCGCACTGAACACCATCCACATCCCCGTGGCGATGACGAAGAATAAGGTGACGGCCAGGATGATCTGGTAGTACTTCGTTGGAAACAGACGTTTGTAGAGGAATATCAGCGACAGTTTGGTCAGGGTCAAACTGAGATTGTAGAGTGGAATCGTGATGTACAGAGCCTATTCATTCCTGCGGATTAGATTTCGTCCATGAAGTTGATACCCAGTTGCTGGGTTCGTGTGTTTGTGTGTGTGGGTTACCCTGAGTTGATTGCGTATAGTATTCGGACTGAGAAGTTCCTGGTTCTCTGCTAAGCCATTGCGGACCTCTGCTCAATATTAGTTTCTGGCCTTCCAGCGAAAATCGATGGGGATAGCTCGTACCAACTATCAAGAAAGCGAAGAACCCGATGTCTGCCGCCTGTGCTTCACATTAGCTCAGACATCTAGTGCAAGATGCCAGAGGAGGACCAACCAGCGAAAGGACGATCAGCAGGTCATCCAGGCCAGGCGTTCGAACCATATGCAACCGCGTGTACAGACGCAGCGCGACCACCAAGCACGCCAGGGAGAGGAAGGTGACCGCAATGGGCACAGCGTACATGGTGCCGCTTGATGATCGCGATCACTGCGAGTGCCGCATAGAGTCTCTCTGTCTCCAGTGGCAGTCGGTGCGTTATCGTACGTTGAATCTGGTCGTGTGTGGCCGTGTGAGGCCGTGTGGGCATAGGTACAGTGGTTGAAGAAGCCAAGATTTAAACATTTTAACAGTGGCGAGCTCCCACAGTAACGCGGGGAGAATGTGCATGTAACAACCATATTCACTTGCGTCAAGGACCAGCGGGGATGCTCAAGAAAGTGAATCGTAGCTCATTCCCGCTTGGTGTTACCCATGGTTCGGCGGCCGGTCATCGCCGGAATCGCCCAGTCCGGCCGAATTGGTTTGATGCATTTGACTTGGTAGCTGCAACAACCAAGGAATTTCTGTTTCCTCAAAAATAAGAGCAGAGCAGAGTGGAACAATCAATTGTCAGCAGGCATATTCCATTATTTGTTTGGCATGTACATAATTTTTCATCATCACACATGGGAGGTGTAGGAACAACGCGGAGACAGAGCTTATACAAAGGTCCAGGAAAAACTCCAGCTAGAAAGATGCTATACAGCATTGACCTTGCATTCGGGTCAGGGGGCTTATGCAATTGCCCCTTCCTTCCCAGCCCAGAACTGTACAATATGGTCACCATGGTATGTCGTCCTTCGATCCAAAAACTAGAAAATCACAAACCAGCCTTATGAGCCGCACGCTAAGCAATATTCAAAAATGCAACAAGGAAAGGATTTACAGGCGAGCCTTGAGGTTGGACTTGAGGCGGCGCTCAACGGCAGCCATGTACTCGCGGGTGGTGACCCAGGCCTCGCGCTCCTTGCGGCCACAGGCCAGAGCCAAGTCCTTGGTCATGATACCCTCCTCGTTGACAACGTCAATGCAAGCCTTCTCGAGCTCCTCAGCGAAGGCCACAACCTCGGGGGTCTCGTCGACCTTGCCACGCTGGATCAGACCACGAGTCCAGGCGAAGATAGAGGCAATGGGGTTGGTGGAGGTCTCACGGCCCTTCTGGTGCTCGCGGTAGTGACGAGTCACGGTACCGTGGGCAGCCTCAGACTCGAAAGCCTCACCGGTAGGGGTGGCCAGAGTGGAGGTCATCAGACCAAGGGAGCCGAAGCCCTGAGCGACAATGTCAGACTGAACATCACCATCGTAGTCTGGAAAGCTGATTAGTACATGTAACGTCCGTCGAGATGAAGTGCGGAGAACTTACTCTTGAGAGCCATGACGAAGCCACCCTCGCTCTTAATCATCTGGGCGACCATGTCGTCAATGAGACGGTGCTCGTACCAGATCTTCTTGGCCTCGAAGTCCTTCTGGTAGGTAGACTCGTAGATCTCCTGGAAGATGTCCTTGAAGCGACCATCGTACTTCTTCAGGATGGTGTTCTTAGTGCTCATGTACAGAGGAAGACCCTTGAGCAGGGCCATCTGGAAACTGGCATGGGCGAATCCGCGGATGGACTCATCAGTGTTGTACTGAGTCTGGGCAATGCCACCACCCTGGAAGTCGTAGACATTGATGGTCTCAGCCTCACCGCCGGCAGGGGTGTAGACGAGCTCGAGCTTTCCGGGGCCGGGGATGACGCGGTCGGTGGCACGGTACTGGTCACCGAAAGCGTGGCGGCCAATGATGATGGGCTTGGTCCATCCGGGGACAAGACGGGGGATGGCGGGGATGATGATGGGCTCACGGAAGACGGTACCGCCGCTAAGGAAGGATTAGTACAAGATTAGGAATGGGCCTGTTTGTGACTCAGAACTTACAGGATGTTACGGATGGTGCCGTTGGGGGACAGCCACACTGCAGGACAAGGTTCGTTAGCAAGCCTAATTCCGAAGTCTCGAGTGGTACAATCACAGCATACTCTTCTTCAGCTTGAACTCCTCAACACGGGCCTCATCGGGAGTGATGGTGGCGCACTTGACACCGACACCATACTTCTTGATGGCCTCAGCGGCCTCGACGGTGACCTTGTCGTCGGTCTGATCACGGTACTCAAGACCCTGCAAGAGAATGTCAGTCGCCGATGACCGGTTATAGCTGGGCTGAGTCGGATGAAAGCGCTTACGAGATCGTAGTACTTGAGGTCGATATCGAGGTAACTGGACACACATGTCTCAATTGGACTGTCTCATACTTCCGGATCGGAACGAATTGTCACTTACGGCAGGATCAACTATAGAAGCGGGTCCAAGTTAGCATGCAGTTCCGGGAGATCACGGGTAAGAGCATTGCCCCGGAGGGCCCAGCCGAGGCAGACTCACCTTCTCTCTGATCTCCTTCCAGATGATACGGGTCATCTAGGAACAATATTAGCACATGTCAAGAGATGTACGATCCAGAACTCTTCAAGGCTCTGAATCGTCGGAGAGATTGGTCCTTGGCCGCATGGGAGAATGCAGCCGCGGCT